TTTAGGTGTAAGGTCAGGTTGTGTATTTGAGACATTTCTTCCTTCTTTAAGAAGGCCTGGAATGCTACATACTTCCCTCTTATGACCACCTTGCTACATGTCAGAGGTTTTGGACTGTCGTGTTTTCATTTTTCTTGGCTTCCTTGTACCTTTTATTTCCTCTTTAATTTCTTGGTTAACCCATTCATCCTTAGTAGGATGTTCTTTAACCTCTGTGCATTTGTAGTCTTTCCAAATTTTTTCTGAGCTAGATAACAAGTTTCAAAGCCTTGTGGTCTGGAAATATGCATGGTATGATCTTGATCATTTTGTACCGGTCGAGGGCTTACACGACAGCATCTTTATCCATTCATCCCTTGGTTTAAATACCTCACTTGCTCTGGAGTCAAAGGTAACCCAGTTGCTCAGAGAGTAGAGGTAGGTTTACCTGAGCTTCCAGTGGGTTTATAAGTGCTGTTTGCTGTGCATACAGTATGAAATTGTCCTGGATGGGAGATTATGTCTCATGTTGCACCTTACAGGTAAGCACCCACTCAGACCCCTGCCCCAACACACTCACCAAATGCAAGCTTTCCTGTGTAGTTCTCCTCGCTTTTCTTGGGTATGAGTTGCTTGACTCCCTTGGTCATATGATAGTTCTCTATCCAGGTGACATGCACATTCGTGGATAGAATCTCTGCACATGGCAGATAACAGCCACCAAATCTGAGGAGGGTGAAGACTGGGACACTGTCACTGTAGAGGGAACTGACACGGCCCAGGGAAAGCAGACAATTACTATAGGAAGGCCACTGTAGAACCCTGGGAATTCCTTGACAATGGGTCATCTGCCCAGGGTCTGCCCCAGAGGAGGATTCAGGTACCTGTTAACAGATTCCTGCATAGGTAAATGCATGGCTGAATGAGAGTGTGCTTTGAGTGAAGGCATGCTTGATGCATGGTGGATCGAGGAATGCATGCAGAAAAGAATGAATGGGATTGACGAAAGCCTCAGAATCTTGCTCTCTCTTTTTTTTTCCACTTTGGCCATGTAAGATGCAAAGATGAACATTAAATACCATTTAAAAACCTACAAGGCAGGTGACCCACTCCATGACTTGATGATTCTACGAGTTGAAGATTCACGAACTCTACATCTTTACGACTCCAAGGTACTGAGATTTTACACTGGAAGGAACTAGGATTTGGAGAGGTTCAGTAATCTGCCCAAGGTCACAAGTGGCAAAGCTGGGGTTACACCAGACACAGCGTGTTTTACTGTCGTGCTAGTCGGACACCCCAGCGTTCAGGCTCTATGCATTTATGATTCCTGGCTTCTGAAATTATGATCTAACGCCTTCTAGAACTCTTTTCAAGTGGATTTTCAGCTGTGCAATGAGGAAAAACGGCACGATTGTTAAATACTATAAGATGTTATATATTTCAGTAGAATTCATAAGAAGTCACAGTATGACATAGGCTAACACTAAACCAAAGGCAGGGAGACTGGGTTGTGATCCCTACACTGACACCACAGCCCAATGCAGGGAAATGGCAGGGAAGCCACATGTTTCAGCTTGAGGGAAAGATGTGAATGTTCCATGGCCAGTGGATGGCATGGAATGTGATTGGACTTGAGAACATTACTGAGGAAAGCTAGTTTTCCCAGAAGAACAGACGGACACCCTAATGACACTGTATTTGATGAAATTAATGCAAATTGAGCAGCAGGAAACACTGGTTGTCCTCAGAGAAGCAGAGCTGAGGGTAGACCAGGGCAGACCAGGGAAGGATCAAGTGCCAGGAGAGAGACTCAACCCCTCCGGGACAACTTATCCAAACGAGACCTGGGAGCGGGTGACACACGAGAACCTTCCTGCGGGTGTCTCGGCTCCCCAGAAGCCATAGAGTAGACCACAGCCACGTGTGGATTTCCCGTGTGGGGATCGATGTCTTGACTGCGTTGTGGTGACCCTTCAGGGAGCTGTCACCAGGCCCCGATGACATTCCAGTTAGAAATGAGTGAGTGGAATTGCGCAGGCTTGTAGAGGTTCTGCCTGCCTTTGGATCCCTTTGTTTTGTCTCAGGAGATACTAAGCTTGGGGGCTACCTTTCCCCGTGTTGAGATTCCATCCAAATCCAGAGGATTATATGGGGCTACAGTGTCTGTGATTTAAGTTTGGAGTCAGGAAGTAGGCCAAAAAAGACACAATGCATATTCTCGAGCTCAGCTTTGTCCCTAAACCTCAGAAAGGCCAGGCAGACTTGTAGGCTCAGTTTAACAACTTTTTGGACCATTCGGTGCACACATGTAGCTGCGTTTAACCTACTTGACTATCTTTTGAGTTTGGACTTTTTCTGGCCCTGTGTTCATGTTTTGGTAGTTGGGTCATCACAAAGGGCATGGTCTGTCACAGGGCTTCATTCAAGAGTGGGCACAGGGCCCAGTCTGAAAGAAGAGCCATGTATAGAATCCCAGCCTACAGGGTTGTTTGTGGGTGAAGGGGCACGGTGTCCAGTGCGTAGTGATGATTTGGTACATGCTTCAGATTTTGAAACATTTAGTTTTACAAACCTAGGGGATGGAGTTTCTCAGGCTGTACTCACCGTTCACAGACACAAGGGGCTTGAACCAGATACCTACGACACATCAGGGTGCCCTGTTGTTAACTTCACATGGTAATAGGTGCCCCCATCCTTGGGTGACACATCACTGATGTGGATGGAATGGTCTGTTTGGTTGACCTCTGTGTTTTCCACTTGATTTACTTGGGGGAATGGGCTTCTGGAGGAAGGGAGTGGAGAGATTCTAGAAATGCTCTCAGAAAGTGATGGAACCAGCATGTTGGCTTGTATGTCACACCGGAATGGGCTCTACTCAAGCACAATGCTTGTGTCTGGAGACTCTCAGCCCACACAAGACTGATGACCCTTAATGTCCACGAGTCCATTGCCATGCACTTACTGCCAGGGCTATTTTGCAACTGGTTCATTGTGAGCCCTGTCTCCTCTTAGGGATCTACAGGATGTTAAGTTCGGGGTGGGGGTGGGGATGTTAGAGCAAGAGGAGCATGCAGAGCAGGCCCAAACTGCCCATAGGAGATGACAAGACTCCCCTCTCCCAGGGATGTCACCATCCTCTCACATTGTCCTGGAATGACGAATTCCATGCTGGGAAGCCATCCATGGCCCCTACTGAGCATCTTTCCTGCAGCCTCCAGCATCTCTCCCTTCCTCCAACCTCCAGGAGACTTCACACCTTCCATCAGAGTCTAAACTCTTCAGAGTTTAAAGACTGGGATATGTAATGCCTTGATAGTCAGGAGCACTGGATTTGCAAATAGATGCAGTCAAGGTTCCAATCCTGAATCCACTTCTTAGTGATTGGGCTATATACACTTTGACTTTGAAATTTTCATTTGTGTAGCTCAAATATTCAAACTGAGTTCATAGTCTGCACTCAGACATTCTCTTACCCCTTCTACCCTGTTCCGTACGTGGCACATGCTGTACACATTTGGGCAAACCAAAAAGGGACCCACGTTCTACACCCTCACTTGTCCACTCTTGTCTGCCTGCTAGAAGCCCTTTTGGTTTTACCTCCTACACACCTGTGGAATCTGTTTCTCCATCTCCATCATCTCTTGCCCAAATGAAAACTATTACTTCCTAATAGGCTACCCCCATCTTGTTCTGTCTGGCGTAAGCTCTACCTTCTCCTTCTTCCAAGGTGGTCTTCTACAACACACATCTGATTGTACGCCTTCTTGCATAAACAGTTTTGTGGTTTCTCATTGCTCTTACAAACCCAGAGTGTTTGGTATATAGTATGGTGTATGGCATATCGTGTGGTATGTGGTATATGGTATATGGTATGTAGTATGTGGTATATTGTATATGGTATGTGGTATGTGGTGTGTAGTATGTGGTATATTGTATATGGTATGTGGCATGTGGTGTGTAGTATGTGGTATATTGTATATGGTATGTGGCATATGGTGTGTAGTATATGGTATATTGTATATGGTATGTGGCATATGGTGTGTAGTATATGGTATATTGTATATGGTATGTGGTATATGGTATGCAGAATATAGTGTATGGCATATGGTATGTGGTATGTGGTATATGGTATATGAAATGTGGTTTGTGGTATATGGTATATGGTATGTGGTAGTGTACACAATCCACCCTTCCATGACTGGCTTGGCCCCTAGAGACAAAAGGATCCCTGCCTTTTCTGGTACTGACCACAATCTCTTATTCCACATTGGGTTCCCTGGGAAATAGGTGTTGAGATAAATATTAACAAGCAGGTCATTTTCAGGGAGTACTTTTAGGATCAAACCTGTGGAAGGGAGGAGAAGGGAGTAGGAATGTTTAGAAGAAGCTAAGCTGCAGTGAGGTCTCAATGACAACCTCAGGTGATCTCCTGTGCGTGCTGATACTAACATGTTATTTCAGAGTTGTCCTGAGCTGGGGTGAGCGGGCTGGGCCTCTATATCCCCATGTTGAGGAGCCACTGGATGTGGCAGGTTACCAGGCATGACCTGGGGCAAGGTGGCTCTTCTCAGCTGAGGCCATCTCAAAGAGGGTCACAGCCCGGGGCCACCTCCTGAGGCCTGGTGCATCACAGCATCCACCTTGCTCTGCAGAGCCCCTTCCAACTCTGTTCCTCGACCTCAGCACATGAATTAACCCCCCCCCCCCCACCCACCCCATGGAGGTCCTTGGAACTACCCCACTCACCCAGGGGGCTTGAGGTCTCTGAGCACACCTGGACTAACCTGGGCTTTCCCACTTGGAAACATTTAGGATGACTATCATGGGGACAGAGAAGCAGCTCCTTCTGGGATCTCTGAGTGCCTGGCTCTGGAGTGAGCTCTGGCAGAGGACAGAGGAAGGAGGAGAAGGAACCTCAGAACTGGAGTGAGATAAAACCTGGGTTATGAAACAAAATCTCCCGACTATTCACTTCCTTGCAATGTCCCCCAGGGGGGTGCGAGAGGCAGAGATCCAGCTGAGGACAAGATGTTGACTTTTTTTTTTAATGGCCTTAATTTGTGTAACAGTTTTACATTTAGAAAAAACTTGGTACAATCATACAGAGTTCCAATATACAGCTGCACACAGTTTCCCATCTTATTGACGTCTTACAGTAGTATGGTACATCTACTATAATTTAATGAACCCATGTTGGTACATTATTATTTAGCAAAGTCCATAATTTATTTAGATTTTGTCTTGGCTTGGGCTACTATAAGAAAACACCATAAACTGGATGCCTTGTACAACAGGAACTAATTTCTCACAGTTCTGGGCATGAAAATCTGAGATCAGGGTGCAAGGATAATTAGGGTTGTGATACGCATTTCCCACAATAGCAAAGCACATGGTTGTGTAGTCTCCTGGTGTGGGGGGGGGCCGCCCCCGCCCGATGAACCTGCATAACGTACAAAGGTGAAAAAAATGGCAGAAGGGAATGGGCATAAAGCTGAAGGGGTACAGGAGAAACGAGAAGAGAAGAAGCTGGAGGTAAAGTTCAAACTCAATGGGAGTGGGGTTCATGAAGGCACAGAGACCTTCATGGGAATGCGGCCCGGGATACTGTTCCCAAGCATCCAGATATGCAGCCAGAGGAGGAGAGTGAGGATAAACTTACCACGTCGCTGAGGAAAGTGGGGGTGGGGTGGGGTGACAATGTCCCGGAGGAAGTGATGTCAGCAAATATTCACATTAATGTTGTAAAGATTTCACAGCATCGGAAGTGCCAAGGATGGAGTGTTGGGAGCTGATCCCAAGTGAGAAAGGAGGGAGATAATCCAGACACTTGCTCTCTATTGTAAACTGTGCCATCAGAGGAAGGCAGGCCCTCTGCAAACTACTCTTGATAAGTCTTTGCAAACAAATAAAACTCTTCTCTTTTTCAACGTTTCTAATGTTTCAAAAGCCCATATACCAAGTGAATAATAGTTTTACTGTTTTTTTTATGTCCCGATACATTCATAACTGACTGTTGGAGGGTTTCTGAGATGTTGAAAAAAGTTTCTAAAGGTCACAGAAAAATCGTTACTTTTCCCACTGATTACTGGCATCACTTTTCATGGTTTCCGCTGCACCGTCATTGTTTTGGTCCTGTATCACTGTGCAAAGTGAGCACTGTTTCCATTTATCAAGTTGGCTGATCTTAAGTTCTAGGGAAGTAGTTCAATTCAGGTATGAGCTGTGGGAATGCAGAGTGAGAGAGTGGAATTGATATTTTACATGGGGTGGTTTTTGGAAGGTGTTTTTCATAAAGAGACATATCAGCAGAGCTTGAAAGGGGGAGAGACTGAGCCGTGCACGGAAGGGAGACAATTTGACCTCCATTTCCATAGGATCACTGTGGCGGAACCCGGAGAGTCTGTTAGGGACGCGGCAATGGTCCAGGAAGGGATGCTGGTTGCCGGGACCAGGGGGCAGCCCGGGAGCAAGCAGTGTGCAGGTGCTGGGTGGAGCTCCCTGGTGGGCGGGAGGAGGCTTGCCCTCGCTCCTGAGAGCTTTCCAGGAATTTTGCAAGCTAGTTGTTCCACTGTTGGCAGCTTGAAATTGGCCACATTAGGAGTGTAGACACCATCGAAGTGGACAAGCGCTACAAATCGGGCTTCTTTTTCTTCCTGAGAAGTGGATTGTTGAACATTTACCATCTTGCCACTGCACATAGCTTTATGAAGGCAGAATTGAACACGGGATACGAAGAAGGAAATCAGGGAAGGGTCCAGGTTTCTGGACTGCCAGCACGTGTACGTGAGCAACAAGGTCGGGAAGGATGAAGGTGACAGAAGAGGTAGTGTTCCCATCACAGGGAGAGGAAGAGATATTCCTCTGTGGGTCTGAGTAGAAGGACATGTAGGCAAAGAGGGAGGAGAATCCCTTCTCTTCTTCCAACCAGGATGGGATTCATTTGTATTCGAGAGACATTGGAGAACTCACCAAGGCTTAGGAGTCTGAGGGTTGGCAGGAATAACCTGTGAGAACATGGACTTGAGTGTGTACTTCATGACCATGGTCCCCAGGAGAAGGCTACGAGATAGCCTGGTGTGCGTACATGTGACTTGTTTCTCACATTCTAGTAGGATATCCATGTGTCAGTCTCCAGAGACATTCTATTGCCCTGCTCAGGACCAGGTATGAAGACCAGCTCTGGGGGCATCAAGGACTAGGAGAGGAGCGGCAGGAACTGTGGGCAGGTGGGTCTCTGGGGAAGCTGACATTTGGGGCAGATTTGTGGAAGCTTCTAGTTGTTCCTTGTCTTAGGCTGGGCCCCTCAGGGAAGGAAGGAGGCAGCAGAGACCGAGGATGGCATGTAGCAGGGGAGGAAGGAAGGAGCCGTGGACCCATGTTCACATTTCATTATCTGCGCATCATTCCAGAAATGTTCTCCACATGTCTCCTTTGTCCTGGGTGCTATTTTCCTCCTGGGACACCTGTAGTGAGAGGGCAGAAAGTCCCTGACATGGACTGTGCCTCCTCAACCTTCCTCCCTAGGTCCTGATCGCCCTTCCCCATCCTCTCCAGTCTGTCCCACAGAGAGTCAGAGCGGGAGCCGTCCTCAGAGCAGCCAGCAGGCACCTGTCAGCATTCCTCTAAATGTGGACACCTCGCGCCCAAATAATCTAGAGATGGTCTCCACGGGATTTTCCACCCAGCTGTTGCTCAGTCAGCCCACTCACTTCTCAGAAACCCTAGGCCTCTGTGCACATCCTTTGCCAGCCTTTGACCCCACCCACCTCCTACAGGACCTGAGAGTCCTCCTGGGAGTTTGGAACCTCCCAGAGGGATTCCTGAGGCCCCTTAGGGTATCAAAGGAGTTATTTCACCTGCTCTTTACTCCAAGTGGGCGGTGACCCTGTATGACCTGTGGGCTGCCCCTCTTGCTGATCTGGCTCTTTCTTGGACTGACCTTGCCCTGTCTTCTTTGTCCATAACTCACAGCCAATCCATTACTTCCTGTGGACATAGATGACTGAGACAGTGATGAGCAGCAGTAGCAGCTTGGGACCCAGGTAGAGAGCCACCAGGAGTGGAGTGGACAGTTCTAGATCTGGAAATGAAGGGACAGGAGGCAGCATCAGAGAGGGATCCAGGAGTCCACTCCCAGGGGCCTCCACTTACTCCATCTGAGGGAACCTGGACCCGTCAATGCTCTGAAGCTAATGAATCTCCCTGTGAGACGCTCAAGGCAGAATTCAGAGTTGAAGTACCTCATCACGCTCACCCCTTCTCCGGCTACCGGGGGTCCTTCCTGAGGGAAGGGATGGAGGCTGTGCATCTTGGTGCAGCAGGGTCAGCCACATAGGCATCCAGCCTTCCAACCCAGACAACCCTAATACCCATTTCCAGTCTTAGCACACAAGCAAGCTTGCTAGTTCAGACACACTGGAAGCACCAGAAGTAACAGCCCTTGTATGAGCCCCAATGCAAGGCCAAAGACCAAAGTCTAACCCAAGCCAGTCCAGAGGAGGTGATGTTGATTTGTCTCTTCCTGCTTTCCTGGTTCAGGAAAGTCAGGTCAAGACTGACCCCTGGAAATCACACGGTCCAAGAATAGGAGGACTCTGAAAGGTGGAAGACGAAGGCAGATGGTCTAGATGCCGGCAGTCTGGAAGAACACAGCACCAGGTATCCTGGCTCCATGCTACTGAATCCCCAAGCACAGGAGACCCAGGTGTGGCATTCAAACAAAGAAAGACTAGTGGCAGCAATCCTAGCTCCCATTTCAAAAAACGAGGAGCAAAATAAACCCCAATCAAGCAGAACAGGGAAAAAAAGAGGAGAAAAATTAATGAAATTGAAAATACACAAGAGAGAAAATCACTAAAACAAAAGAGAGTTTGTGGAAAAGATTAGTAAAATTGAAATACTTCTTAGTAATTCTGACAATGAAAAAAGGGAAAAATAAATATTTCCAATATAGGGAAAGAAATAGGATATTACTACAGAGCCTACAGACAGCAAAACGATAATAAGGTAATATGATGAGAACTCTATGGGTAGAAATTGGACAACTCAAGAAAATGGACCAGCTTCTTCAAAGCACAACCTGCCACAAGCATCCAATATGAAATGAAGAATTTGAGTAGCCCTAGCTATCCAGATTCTCTTCATATATATATATACATATATATATGAAGCTATCCAGATTCTCTTCATATATATATATATATATATAAAAGGGTTGTGGAGTCCCATGTGGTTCACAAGAAAGTTCTCCTAAGCATTTAGAGATGAAATAAAACCAAGTTTGGTGCACAAAATAAAGTCTCAGAAGAAATTTTGACAACTATCCATTCCATTATAACTGGTTGTAGGGAGTTACTGATAATTTTACAAAGTGTGTAATGGTATTGGTTTTGTAGAAAAGCCAATGTCATTAGTCACATGACCACCCAATTATGGACATCCATTTGCAACTGAGTGTGCATCCATGACTAAGTCACTAGTGAACACAATTATGCAACTTCTGCATACCTCTAGTTTTAAGAGAAATTGTTTGTTCTCCTCTTCCTATCTCTACTAGGTGGCAGGGTCACGGACACTCAGTGACCCAGTGTTGACCTAGCAATGAGGACAGTGTCATGGGGTATGTTAGAAGGAAATGGGCCTTTGAAAGGTCTTCTGGAACAAAGACTCCTGGAAACATGGCTCAAACTCCTCCATACATTATAAGAGCGAGATAAGATAGAATTTGGTCATACAAAGGGGACCGGTAGGTCCTTGGGACAATGCCCAGCTGTTTTCTCTAACACATTTGTCGTATAGGCTGGTGGTCCCTGTCCTCGGGGACTCAGGTTTCTCTTGATTGGTTTAGCCCATCACCTGGACTAAGGGCAGGACATCTCCATCTGTCCCCCATTGCTCCCTGAGTCGGTTCTGTAAACTTCCAAGCTCCTAGGGTGGTTGTAGCAGGAAGAAGACCAGAAATGAACTGGAATTGGCATCAAGTAAATGTGCAGTGAGTAATCATGATTATTGCTGGCCTGTTGTCCCAAAGCAGGGGACAAAGGTGGTTTGTGCTGTGAGCATCCATGGTCACCAGGGAGTCTGGTCCAGACTCAACACTCTGTCCTCAGGGTTCCCGTCCAGAATTTCAGAGTGGCAAGTGCAGACCTTTGCTGAGAAGGGGTTAGAAGGGTGTAAGAAGGATCGATATGAAGCCCAGGTGAGAACGAACAGAAGGAGGAGGTGGCTGGCCTGGCATGGTGACATAATTACTGTCAGGTGAAGGTGCAGGAGGCAGGATGCTAGCAATAAGATCATCTCCCTCCCTCTGTTGTTTCCTTCTCTAATGCATGTTTCTGTCAAAAGATCTAAAAAGCTATGTACCAAAATCTTAACAGTGGTCACTCTTGGAGCATGAGCTTTGGGGAGGGAAGCTCATATCAAAATTCTACTTTATGTCTGTAGACCTCTAGATTATTCTATAATAGGCATGAATGACTGCTTTTCACATAAAAAAAGAAAAGATAGAATTTAAAGTGCCAGGTCAGTTGGCATCTCGGACTCACCATGGGCTTCCTGGTCCTTCTGGTGGGCAGAGACCACAAGGGTATGGTTTTTGGTGACCGCGGGCTGCCCGTCATGCTGCACCTGGCAGGTGAAAACCACATCTTCCCTGTGGGCGGATAAATTCACCAGGAGCCAGCTCGTCCAGTTAAAGGTCCCATCCTTGTTCTCTATGAGGTTCGAGGCCGTCGAGGCCGTTTCTGTTCGGGACACATTTCCGTTCTCCAACCAGGTCAGCTGGAGGCGCTGGGGGTAGAACTTCTTCACTTGGCAAATGACCTTCACCTGGTCCCCTGTCACGGGTTGCTGGGCAACCTCCAAGGTGGGGGGAACTGAAACAGCACAGAGCAGAAGCTCTGACCTCATGGAACAGACACATCACCGGGGAGGGGCTCGAGAACTTAGCAAGGGAATCACCCAGATCAGTGCTAGGCATACAGCTGGTGCTCAAACACTCAGGGTAGGCTTTGCATGCGAGTGAAATCCCTAAGCACAGTGCCCAGTACACAGTAGGTGCTCAAGGTACCTACTGGTAGCTGCTATTAGGGTAATGATGAGTGAAATCGAGATACGCAGCCCCTGGCATGCAGTTGGAATCGAATAACTAGCAAAATCCATGAAGTCACCGAGCACACAGTGGCTGGATTACAATAGGTGCTCAATAATTGGAGTGGCTATGGGAAAGTAAATCAAACTACCTAGCACGGTAGGTGTTCACCTGGAACTGCCGTTAAAACAGGAGGAGGTGACGGTACCCCTGGGTGCCCGGTGATTGGGAGGGTCTGTCAGGAGGCAGGTTCCAGGGGATGGAAGGCTGGGAGCACAGAGTGGGGGAGGGGCAGGCTGGGAGGCTTGGGGGCCGGAGCTGGGCTTGGGCCGGGGGTGACGGGCATCTACCTCGGAGGGTCTCGGACAAGTTGGCAGTCCCACGAAGAGGAGGGCCCCCCTGCAGGGTCACGTGGGCCACCTCGCAGATGACCTGGGAGCGAACGTCCCCCGGGGCCAGCGGCAGCGTGGTTGTGCTGGAGATGCTGTAGGAAGCGCTGTCTCCCTCTGGGTCCACGGTGGTCTGGGAGGCTGCCAGCTCATTCCCGTTTTTGAACCATTTCAGGGTGACGTTTCTGGGGGAGAAGCCGTGGGACTTGCAGGTGAAGCTCACAGTCTGCTCAGGTGTGGCCCTGGCCGTGGGGCCCGACACCACGGGGGGAGAGGGTTTGGCTACAAGAGGAGCATTTATGAGCAGTAAGCATGACTGTGGTCATCCTCACCAACGACAGGTATGTGACACTGTGCAGAACCCTCACGGATTATTTTCCAGCCCTGCAGGGGTGGAGGGGGCCCCGAGGAGAGCCGGAACCAGGTGGCCAGTCGCCCGTAGGCCTGGACGTGGCCAAGCCCAGCGCCCCCGGTGAGAGGGGACCGCGGGCCTTTCTCCTACTCGGGTGGGAGTGAGGGGCACGTGAGGCAAATACAGGCAGTTTTGCTTTGAATTTAACACTGAAAATGCTTCTCCAGGACCAAACTCGGATCTGTCTTTATCCCAAACTTAACTTAACACCTGGAGCTCTCCCTTCAGGTATTTGTGAATTTACTCTAGTTTTCACTCTTTCCACAAATATTCCATAGGGTCTCATCTCCAATCCCTGAAACCGAGAGGGAGGGAATGAGGGGTTGTTTTTCTGAATCTGCGTTCTTCTCTTGGGTCAGTGTTGGGTTGAAAACCAAGATCACGGAGTGCTGAGAAAGCCAAAGATGGTTAATTTTTCAATCGTGAATCAATTTCAAGGACAGAGACACCGGCCTACGGAGCAGGCAGAAGCCCTCTTGTGTCCTGGGGACACACACATCAGTGACTCGAGAGGGAGGGCATTTCAGAAGGTCCTATAGGGGGTCTCCAAATTGTCCCTTATTACCAAACACCTTCTAGAACAGTCGTCAGAGGGCACATATTGCAGATATGTGTATTTGTGAATGTTCAACTTCCTTTCTAAAACTCAGCAAACATTCTGAGGACATAGGTAGGAGGTGTCACATGAGTAAGTCAAGTCATGAAAACACCAGCAGCCCTGACACCCCTAGAGGGACAAAGCGCTGTGATTGGTTGTATTGAGAGTGTCTCAGGCCCCTGATGCTAGGCTGACTCCCTGACCCTCAGTTCCTTCAGGCCCGTGCCTGCCTTGTGATGGGGTCCGTGGTTTGTCCCCAGCATTCACGGGACAGCCACCGCATGCCAGGTCCTGTCATAAGCTACTTACATGCATTCGCTCACTCAGTCCCTGTAGCGGCGCTGTGGGGCTGTGTTGTCATAGACATGCGAGGACACTGAGCCCAATGTGGGGATGACTCCTCAGAGGTCCCAGAGCCAGGATGGCAGACCTGGTTGGGAGCCCAGGCACTGGTACTGGCTGCGGTGACCAGGCAAGGGACATACCCACTGGGAACTTGCGTGACACCCTCACAATCAGGATAAAGCCGTTTCCTCCCTATGTCTGGGGGTATAGGGAGACTCAGTTGCTACTGTTAAGAGTCAGTCCCTGTATCACGGGAGCATTTTTCGAAAAGACCCCCAGCGAATGACCTACATCGGGCATCTCTTCCAAGCAGGGGTAGCAGAGTCAACAGTGCTGCTGTGCCTCTTCTCCCTGTGATATTTCTGAACGGTTATAAGGAAACACATTCCCCCCCCTCTGCCCTCGGTGCATTTACCTGCATTGGAAGGGAGGGGAACGTAAGCTTCGTGAGAGAAAAGTCCTTGGCTGTTCTGTTCTCTGCTACGTCCACAGCACCCAGAGCCCAGAATGCACACAGCAGGTGCTTAGTCAGTGCTGAGTAAGGAGAACCCTGGCCACATTAAGCGGAGGTCTCTCCAGAGGCAGGGGTGAAGTGAGGCCTTGTAACGGGGAAAGTCACTCAGACTTTCAGTCCCTCATCACTGGAACCAGAAGGCTGGTCAGGATTGGAAAAGGGAAGAGCTGGGAGCCTGCAGGCTGAGGTTCCAGATTTTCCCACTGTTTACCAGCCGTGGGGCCTTCAGCAAATAGCACAACCTCTCCGGGCCTCAACTTTCCTGATCCGTGGAAGGGGCTCATTCAGGGGCACCCGCCAAAGCACCTGATCCTTATCTGTTGCTCAAGTGATGGAGGGCATTCTTATTGACTTGTTGTCACAACCAGGGGACGGAGGGATACTCACCGCTCACGATGACCTGGGTGCCTCGTCCAGACTTAAACTCCACATCCAGAACCCGTTTCCTGAACTTCACACAGTAGTAGGTTCCCGTGTCTGCTGGGGTGATGTTACTGATGCGGATGGAAAAGTCCAGGTTGCTTCGCTTTGTGATGTCTGTAACAGTTGTTACTCGGGGGGAGTGGAGGTATCCGACAGAACTGAAGATTAACTCCCGGCCTGGCCCTGTGCCCCTGAACCACTCGACCTTCCCAACGGGGAGCAGGGAGGTCAGGGTGCAGCGCAGAGTGGTTGTCTCTCCGGCTGCCACAGACACCGACTTCTCGGGCTGGATCACCCGCAGTTCCGTCTCATCTGCCACACCTGGAGGGAGAACAAGACAGCTACTTACCATCCTTGTGCGATCCTGTCCGTCCGCTCAAGTGTTTATCCACAACAGCTTTCACTGAGTGCATACCGTGAGCCCAGCCCGCTGCGTGTACATGGCATGTAGCCCTCGCGACGAGCCTGTGACACGGGACCCTGTTACAGACGAGGAAAGCAAAACACAGAGAGATTCGGTGATGTGGCACATGCAGGCGGATGGCCCCCAGCCCTCTCTGAAAGCGTCGTGCTTCGCCAAATGATCCTGCTTGTCTACGTTCTGGCCCCTTGGGTGTTACACTTTCTGGTCTCTTGCATTAGGTGGGGGCCATGAGATTTCTTTAGACCATTGTGTGTGAGCAGAAGTGATGGATGTAGTTCCTGGGCTGTGTGTTTAGCTTCTGGAACCTCTATGGATCAACTTCCCTCCTTCACAAGCACGTGCACATGCTGGGGTCTGTTCTAGCAGCCTGGATAATTGAGTGGCAGTGATGGGCAGAGCTTTCAACACACACAAACGTGTAGTTAAATGAGAAGTAAAATATTCTTTCAAAAATCTGTGGGTTTTTTTTCTTATATCATAATCATATTATTTTTTTTTTAATATAGTTTATTCCAGTTGGGCTTAATACAACACCCAGTGCTCGTCCCAACAAGTGCCCTCCTCAATGCCCATCCCCCACTTTCCCCTCTCCCCCATCCCCCCATCCGCCCTCAATTTGTTCTCTGTAGTTAAGAGTCTCTTATGAGTTGTCTCCCTCCCTCTCTGTTTGTAACTATTTTTTCTCCTTCCCTTCCCCCATGGTCTTCTGTTAAGTTTTTCAAGATCCACATATGAGTGAAAAATATATGATATCTGTCCTTCTCTGACTGACTTATTTCACTCAGCATAATACCTTCCAATTCTATCCACATTGCTGCAAATGGCCAGATTTCATTTTCTCATTGCCAAGTAGTACTACATTGTATGTAGAAGCCACATCTTCTTTATCCATTCATCAGTTGATGGACATTTAGGCTCTTTCCATACTTTGGCTATTGTTGAAAATGCTGCTATAAACATTGGGGTACATGTGCCCCTATGCATCAGCACTCCTGTATCCCTTGGGTAAATACAATCCCTGTATGCTGGGTCATAGGGTAGTTCTATTTTTAATTTTTTGAGGAACCTTCATACTGTTTTCCAGAGCGGCTGCACCAGTTTGCATTCCCACCAACATTGCAAGAGGGTTCCCGTTTCTTCACATCCTCGCCAGCATCTGTAGTTTCCTGATTGGTTCATTTTAGCCACTCTGACCAGTGTGGGGTGGTATCTCAGTGTGGCTTTGATTTGTATTTCCCTGATGAGAAGTGACGTTGAGCTTCTTTTCATGTATCTGTTGGCCATCTGGATGTCTTCTTTGGAAAAGTGTCTATTCATGTCTTCTGCCCATTTCTTCACTGGATTATTTGTTTTTTGGGTGTGGAGTTTGTTGAGTTCTTTATACATTTTAGATACTAGCCCTTTATCTAATATGTCATTTGCAAATATCTTCTCCCATTCTGTCGGTTGCTTTTAGTTCTATGATTGTTTCCTTTGCAGTGCAGAAGCTTTTTATCTTGATGAGGTCCCAATAGTTCATTTTTGCTTTAAACTCCCTTGCCTTTGGAGATGTGTTGAATAAGAAATTGCTGCGGCTGAGGTCAAAGAGGTTGTTGCCTGCTTTCTGCTCTAGGGTTTTGATGGTTTCCTGTCTCATATTCAGGGGTTTCATCCATTTTGAGTTTATTTTTGTGCAGGGTGTAAAAAAGTGGTCTAGTTTCCTTCTGCATGTTGCTGTCCAGTTCTCCCAGCACCATTTGTTAAAGAGACTGTCTTTTTCATTGGAGGCTCTTTCCTGCTTTGTCAAAGATTAGTTGGGCATACATTTGTGGTCCAGTTCTGGGTTCTCTATTCTATTCCATTTGTCTGTGTGTCTGTTTTTGTGCCAATACCCTACTGTCTTGATGATTACAGCTTTGTAGTAGAGGCTAAAGTCTGGGAGTGTGTTCCTCCCGCTTTGGTTTTCTTCTTCAATATTATTTTTGCTATTTGGGGTCTTTTGCAGTTCGATACAAATTGTAGGATTGTTTGTTCTAGCTTAGAGAAGAATGCCAGTGCAATTTTGATTGGGATTGCATTGAATGTGTAGATTGCTTTGGGTAGTATTAACATTTTAACAATATTTATTCTTCCAATCCGTGAGCACAAAATGGTTTTCCATTACTTTGTGTCTTCTTCAATTTCCTTCATAAGATTTCTACAGTTTTCAGCATACAGATCTTTTACATCTTTGGTTAGGTTTATTCCTAGGTGTTTTATGGTTCTTGGTGAAATTGTAAATGGGATCAGTTTCTGTATTTCTCTTTCTGTTGCTTCATTATTGGTGTATAAAAATGCAGCCAATTTCTGTACATTGATTTTGTACCCTGTGACTTTGCTGAATCATAATCATATTATTTTAGTTTCTGAATGCTATTACAACAAATTATTTTTTTAGGTTTTTAATGTTTATTTATTTTTGAGAGAGAGACAGAGCACGAGCAGGGGAGGGGCAGAGAGCGAGGGAGACAGAATCTGAAGCAGGCTTCAGGCTCTGAGCTGTCAGCACAGAGTCCAACGTGGGGCTCAAACTCACAAACCGTGAAATCATGACCTGAGCCGAAGTTGGATGTTTAACCTACTGAACCACCAATGTGCTCCATAACGAATTATTTAAAACTTAATGGCAAAACCTACAGAAGTTTATTATCTTATAATTCTTGAGGTCAGAAGTCCAAAATTGGTGTTGCTGAGTTAAAATCAAGGGTCAGCTGAGCTGCATTTCTTCTGGAGTTAGGGTTTTTGTCTTTCCAAATTCTAGAAGCTGCCCACAATCCTTTTCTCATGGTTTCACATCTTCCAGTCACTCCAAATTCTTGCCTGTCTTGTCACCTGTCCTTCTTTAATTTTGACTTCCCTACCTCATTCTTATAAGGACTCTTGTGAATATATTTGGGCCACTTTGATAATCTCGGGTCATCTCTCCACTTAATAGTCTCCAGTTAATCACTTCTGCAAAATCTTTTTTGGCATATAAGAGAAAACCATTCACAGGTCTAGGCGTTATAAAACGGGCTTCTTTGTGGGGGACATTGTTCTGTCTACCACATATGTATCCCCAGACTATTACAGAAACCAGTTACTGTAAAAAAAAACTTTTGTATGAGCCATTGCTACACAGGCTGAGAAGCAGGCAATTTACTGGAATCTGGAAGAAGGACTTTTCAAGCAGTGAACTGGTGAAACAGTTTGTGAGATAAAACTAGAAATCAACAACAGAACAAGAAATAGTATATTCTCAAATTTATAGCAATAAAAGAACTCATTCTTAAAAAAAGCAAAAATTAAGCCAAAAGGAATCACAAGGGAATTTAGAGAACACCTGGAGATGAATGAAAATGGAAACACAACTTCCCCAAACTACAGTCTGCAGTGAAAGCAGCTCTAGAGGGAAATTTATGGCTGTAATGCCTACATTCAAAGAGAGGAAAGATCACAATTCAGTTAACAACTATGGACCTTGAGAAATCGGAAAAAGAAGAGGAAAAATAAACCTGAAGGTAGCAGAATGAAGGAAATAAAAAACACTAGTGTAGAGATAAATAAAATGCAAATAGGAAAACAACACAGAGGAACACTTGGACTGTTTGTGGGAATGCAAACTGATGCAGCCGTCATGGCAAACAGTATGGAGGTTCCTCAAAAAATTAAACATAGAGGGGCGCCTGGGCGGCTCAGTTGGTTGAGTGTCCAACTTCGGCTCAGGTCATGACCTCACAGCTCGTGAGTTCGAGCCCCGTGTCGGGTTCTGTGCTGACAGCTCGGAGCCTGGAGCCTGCTTCAGATTCTGTGTCTCCCTCTCTCTGCCCCTCCCCTGGCTCAAGCTCACTCTCTCTCTCGAAAACAAACATTAAAAATAAAAAAAAAAAATTAAACATAGAACTACCCTATGAGCCAGCAGTTGCACTGCTATATATTTGTCCAAAGGATACAAAAATGCTGATTTGAAGGGGCACATGAACTCCAATGTTTATAGCAGCGCTATCAACAATAGCCAAATCATGGAAAGAGCCCAAATGTCCATCAACTGAGGAATGGATAAAGAAGATGTAGTATGTATATGCAATGGAATACTATGCAGCGAGAAAAAGCATGAAATCTTGCCACTTGGAACAACGTGGATGGAACTAGAGGATGTAATGCCAAGCTGAATAAGTCAGACAAAGACCGATACCAAATGAGTGCACTCATATGTGGAATCTGAGAAACTCAGCAGATGAACATAGGGGAAGGAAAGGAAAAATGAGATAAAAACAGGGAGGCAAACCACAAGACACTCTTAAATACAGAGAACAAACCGAGGGTGGCTGTAGGGGAGGTGGTTGGGGAGATGGGCTCAATGAGTGATGGACAGTAAGGAGGTAACTTTTTGGGATGAGCACTGGGTGTCATATGTAAGAGATGAATCCCTGGGTTCTACTCCTGAAGCCAAGACTGCACTAGATGTTCACTAACTTGAATTTAAAGAAAATATTGGGAAATAAAAAGATCAACATTCAAAAATCAAGTGCATTTCTATAAGCGAGTGGTGACCAATTCAAAAGGGATTAGCGAATAATTCCACTTACACTAACATCAAATAGTATAAAATGCTTCGGAGTAAATTCTCACATGGGGATGAAAGACTTGTACACCAAAACGTGTAATGTTTTTGCTGAAAGAAATGAAAGAAGACATAAAAGATGGAAAAACTTCCTCTGTTCGTGCATTGGAAGACTTCATATTGTTAAGATGTCAATACTACCTAAAGCGATCTACAGATTCAATACAATTGTTATCAAAACCCCCGCGGCATTCTTTTTTTTTTTTTTTTTTTTTTGCAGAAATGGAAAAGCCCATTCTAGAATTCATATGCAATCTCAAGGGACCCAAGATCACCAAACAATCCTGGAAAAGAGTGTAGTTGGAAACCTCACATTTCTTGA